TTCACCCAAGGCATTCAGATGTGTACTTAGGAGAAAGAACTGTGTTACTGATAGAAGAGAATATTTATAGCTCAGGGTTGACCTGTGGTGGTCCTTGGTGTTCTCTGAGCTGGGTGGTTTCCTTGCAGGCATCTCATGAACCAACTAGGGAACATCATCAGTGTTGGAAGGGAAGGGGATTCTGAAGAGGGGGAGGAGGACTGTTGGGTCCTTGTTGGTCTCTGAACTTGTTGCTTTCCTTGCAGACGTTTCATGACCCAACTAGGGAACATCATCAGTGCTGGAAGGGAGGAGGAGGGGGAGGAGGAGGAGGAGAGGGAGGAGGAGGAGGAGGAGGAGGAGAGGGAGGAAGAGGAGGAGGAAAAGGACTGTGAGGTCCTTGGTGCTCTCTGAGCTGGGTGGTTTTCCTTGCAGACGTTTCATGACCCAACTAGGGAACATCATCAGTGCTAGAAAAGAGTGGGGTTTGTGGAGAGGAGGAAGAGGAGGAGGTGGTGGCAGTGGTCTCTGAACTTATTGTTTTCTTGCAGATATTTTATGATTCAACTAGGTAATATAATAGGTGCTAGAAGTGTTAATAACACCCCTCCCTTCTAGTACTGATGATATTCCCTAGTTGGATCATGAAACGTCTGCAAGAACATCTCCTGCCAGGCTGAGAGAACTCCAAAGACTCCACAGAATTTAAATTATATTCAACTCCATCCGAAAGAGCGACAGGTTGAGGGATACTCCTGGCATTGGGTGGGCCGAGATCCTAACCACAAAAAAAGTGTGCGCCACCTGAACTCGGGACCTTCTTCAGAGGGATGTGTGTCGGGCAGAAAAACATTGGCTTCATGCCCTAAAGCATGCCTTCCCCCTTCCTCCGGGGTCCTGGTAGAGCCCCGGGGGCTCCGGAGGCCGGTTTTACGATAAAGCCATCCTGAAGACTTCCTTGAGAGATCTGGAAATCCCTCCCTCTCGGGATCTGGGATCCACCCGGAGCTCCGTAATCTATCGGGCTGAGGGGGGGGGATGTGGGTCCCGTTAGCTTCCCTGTAGAGAGAGGGCTTTCGTGATGTTTTCTCCCGTCTGCCGGCTCCACAGGGTTGGACGTCATGTCAGCGAAGATGGGAGGAGACAGGATAATATTAGTTTATAAAGTCTGTGGTGGGAGAGGCCTCGGTGGGGTTTGGCAGGAGAGACCTTCCGCCGGCTCCGATTTCTCCTGTCCTGCTCTCGTCCCAGCTGCAGGAAGGAGAGGCCGGTGGGGGGGCTGGGGGGGCGGACCTCAAGCTTTTAGGTTGTTGCTTTCTCCTCCCCCCCCCCCTCTTCGTTCGGCCCTGTTCAGTTCTCTGAACAGGGTCAGTTATTCTGAACCCCCAGCCTGTTCTCTGAAAGTCTAGACTTGGGGAGGGCAGTTGCCGTGAGCCAGGCCATACTGGGCCAGTTGGTCTGAAACTGGGTGGGCTGGAGCTGGCAGGTGGAAAGCAAAGAGGTCCAGCCCAGAGTCTGCATCCCCCTCCTCTCTGTTTTATCCATCCATCCATCCATCCATCCATCTCTCTATTTATCCATCTCTCTATTTATCCATCTATCCCCGCTCTCTCTTTCTCACACACACACACACTCCACCTCGTCCTCCTCTTTCTACATGTCCTTCTCTTCTCCTTCTCCTTTTCTTTCATTCTCTTTCTTTTCTCTTGATCTCCATCTTCCTTCCTTCCTTCCTTCCTTCCTTCCTTCCTTCCTTCCTTCCTTCCTTCTCTCTCCTTGTCTTCCTTTCCTTCCTTCCTTCCTTCCTTCCTTCCTTCCTTCCTTCCTTCCTTCCTTCTCTCTCCTTGTCTTCCTTTCCTTCCTTCCTTATTCTTCTTTCTTATTTCCTCCTCCTTCTCCTCCTCTTTCTTCATGTCTGTCTTCTCCCTTCTCTTCATTCTCCTTCTCCTTTTTTTTTCTATCCTCATCTCCCTGCCTCTCCTTTTCTTTCTGGTCTGTCTCATCTTCCTCCTCTTTCTCTTCCTCCTCTTTCTCAATGTCTATCTTCTCCTTCTACTCCTCCTTCTCCCCCCCCCCTTCCTTCTTTTCTCTAAAGGAGAATATTTGTAGCTCAGGGTTGAAATGAGGGGTCTTTGGTGCTCTCTAGTTGGCTACTAACACTGATGATGTTACCTAGTTGGGTCATGAAACATCTGCAAAGAAACCACCAAACTCAGAGAGCACCAGGGACCCCACAGTCATTGTTGCTGTCGTTGTCGTCGTTGTCCTCCTCCTCCTCCTCCTCCTCCTCCTCCTCCCTGCAAACCCCACTCCCTCCTAGCACTCATGCTGTTCTCTAGTTGGGTCATGAAGCATCTGCAAGAAAACCACCCAAGCTCAGAGAGCATCAAAGACCCCACAATCATTTTCTTCGTCCTCCTCCTCCCTCCCTCCCTCCCTCCCTCCCTCCCTCCCTCCCTTCCTTCCTTCCTTCCTTTCTTCTCCTCCTTCTCCTCCTCCTCCTCCTCCCATTGCACCCTCAGTCTTGCCCTTCCTTCCCAGTTCTGCTTCCAAGCCTCTCCCAACTCTCCAGGGCTGGGCTGAAATTGGGGAAGCCGCTGAACCCTCTGAGCAAAAGCCCCAGGTGCTCCAGGCTTGCCACTGTTCTCGGAAAAGGAGGCCTTGGATGAGCTTCCCCATCTCCCTTTTAGGAGCCAATTTGATTTTCTCTTGCTCCTCCTTGTGCTCCTGAGTCTGGTTACACGGGTGCCTCTACTTACGACCATACACCCCCCTCCCCCGTCCACATAGTGGTCGTACGCCGAGGACTAACCTGTGTGCCATACAAGATCCCTCCAGGCCACGTCCCCCGATAGCAAGTCAGGCGAGGAGGGAGGCCGGTGCTTCTTCCCTTGACCGCAGTTGCAACCTCTTCTCTTGGCCAGATCCTTCGGAGGCTCAAGTGTTTGGCCCTGGAAACCGAAACGGAGCTGGAGCGGCAGGACGAGAGCCTGGATGCCATTACGTCCTCCGTGGATCAGGCCAACATGAGCATCGACCGGCAGAACCGCAGAATCCGGAAACTCACCTAGGGACCCCCCCACCCCCTCCGGCGAGGGGATTTTGGCAGCTGGGAACACAGGCGGTCCCCCTTCGTCCTGTGGGGCCAACTCCTGGAGGTGTCCTTTAGCTTGGCCGGTGTCAGATGGGTTGACCAAGCAAAAAAAAAAACAACCCACAAAAACTCGCAAAAGAGGAAGCCGCCCCCGATTGGGGTGTTATTAAACGAAGGGGATGTCCGGTTTAAGTCGCAAAGGAACCGAAGTTCTTGAGTTGCAAACGAAGTTCTCCAGCTGACCTCCTGGGGTTCTTCGCCACGTCGGCACCCAGAAATTGATCCATGCGGTAGAGAGAATCTCAAGCAATGCATGGAAACGTGACAACGTGATCTGCAAAAATTGTCATTTAAATCACCTGTTGGACCACCAGTTCCCTTCGTGGCTTCCCCTGGCCACGTCTTTGCGTCTTCAGGGAACGACTTTGCCTCCTGGGGTTGTGGGTTCGCCATCTCTGGAGGTTTTCAAAAACAGACCGGGATAGTGTTAAGACAGGGGTAGTCAACCTTGGCTCTTTTATGACTCGTGGACTTCAACTCCCAGAATTCCTGAGCCACAATGGCTCAGCTTGGAAACCTCTCCCTTTCCCCTCAGCATGGCTGGCTCAGGAATTCTGGGAGTTGAAGTCCACCAGTCATAAAAGAGCCAAGGTTGACTACCCCTGGTGTAAGATCTCCTACCTTGAGCAGAAAGTTGGACTAGAACACCTTCCGAGGTCCCTCCAAGCCCTAGGATTCTATGTTTTATGTCCCAATTTTTCTTTTTTCTTTTTTAAAAAAAAGGTGGCCTTCGCTCTACGAGATTCCCCCTCAAGAAGCCGTCGTGCTGACGTGAATATACAGACAGGCATGCATTTTAGGAAGACACCCATCTGCTCAAAAATCTATGCTTCCAGTCTGACTTCTTTTAAGACTGTGGTTTGTTTGTTTGTTTGGCTCTTATGTAGGCTTAAACCTGGCCCCTAAACCTGGAGGAGGAACCATTTAGCCATCTGAAATGATGTCAGGCATGGAAAGGCTGCCTGCATCTTGCCAACTTATCAGCATGAATATTTTATTTATTTATTTATTTTAAAAAAATAAATCTTTAAGTTAGTGACCAAATCTAAGCCTGTTGACCTAAAGGACGTGATTTGCTAGGAACCTGGGGGGAAAAAAAAGTCTTATTCCTATTTTTTTTTTTCCTCAACAGAGGAAAAATGGGGGACTCTCACTGTTTTTGAACAACCCCTTAGATAGCTCTGAGCACTTTATAACTATTGAATATAACACAAAAGGGAACGACTGCTAATATTAGTCCTGTAGTGTTGGCATCTATCTATAATCGAATGCATTTTACAGACTTTTGTCATCTCTGGGAAGAAAAATAAAAAAAAATAAATACTGTACCGTAGCCATTCCTGAAGGCGATATTAACGCAGAACAAGAGAAAGAAATTAGGGATGGAGAATTTTTCAGTGCTATTTTAACACCATGGATGGGAACGCTGCAATTTTCTGTTGGCTGGTGAGACGCGCTGGTTTTAATGCAGACAAAAATTTAGCTTTATTTTGATAAGACCCTCTGCTGTTTCTCCAGCTCAGTCAAATAAAGATGGATGGACTCCAGCTCCCAGAATCCCCTAGTCAGTCTGCTTTAAGATGGGAGGACTCCAGTTCCCAGAATCCCCCAGCCAGCCATGTTACCTTGGAATTCTGGGATTTGAAATCCATCCATCTTAAAAGTCCCTGTTGGACACACAGGTAGTTTTCAACACACAACCATTTGTTTAGCGGCTGTTTAAGTTACAACGGCAGTGAAAAAAAAGCGACATACAGCTAGTCCTCGCACTTACGACCATCGCAGCATCCCCACGCTTCCTTGATTTGAATTCGGGCAACCAGCATGTGTGTACGATGGCTGCAGGATCCCGGGATCTCGTGATTACCATTTGCAACTTTCCCTGCTGGCTTCTGATGAACAATGACAGTGGGGGGGGGACTGGATTCGCTTACTGACCACTTAATACCAGTGCTTCAGTTAACAACTGTGGCAAAAAGGTGGTTAAATTGGGTGCGACTCGCTTAGCAACGAAAATGCTCGTAGCTGTAAGTTGAAGGCTGTCCGCACTCTACCAAGTCTGGCCTGCAGAAAATCCAGATCATGGTTAAAAGGAAGGTAATGCTGGGTTTCCAACTGCCATTGGCTGAGCCCAGCTTTCATCTCCCAGAATTCCCCAGTCAGGCGATCGCTGCTTAGAATTATGGGTAGCGCAATCGTCACCTCTGGATCAGGGCAGCCTGACCTAGCGATTTCTTCCCAGTTGTGTTACGTGTGGCATTCCTTCGGGTCGTCCTTGCTTAACGGCCGCCATCTACTCCATCACTTTGGTCACTCAGCAGAAAACCACGTGACGGGCTGACGACCTCCCTTCCCTTTCCGTCGTTAAACGAAACATCGCAAAATCACAACAATCTTTCTTCCACTTTCTCTATTAGTGGCGCTTGCCGCAGGCCGGTTGCTAATCACACACTGACAATCATGTAATTGCAGGACGCCAATGGTCGTAAGTCTGAGGATTGGTTACGAAGCTTTACCACTGTCACAACGTTCAGCTGTGCAAACTCTGCCTTTTCTGAAACCCCGCTTCCTTTTTATCCATCAAGAGAAAAGAAATAGTTGCCGCTTAAGGTGAATTTGTTTACTACACATTATATTCCAATTTATTTTTTTTTTGCTAATGGTGAGCTGTTAATTATTTTCGGAGGGGGGGGAGATTAAGGTCACACTAAAACCGCAGCAGCAGCTACAGGCAGGGGGTTTTTTTTGTGTGTGGTTTTTTTTGCGGTCAGTGAAAGCAAAACAATAATGTGAATTTCTTAATCTTTAAATTACATTTCTCAAACTCTCGGTTGATTAGATTTTTACATGCAAAATCTTGGTCTCTTGTTTCACAGCTGGGGACTGGGTGGGTGGGGTTGCAAAGACCCGTCCCCTTTTCATGCGAATTAACATTCAAACTCAATTGTGCTAAAAATCCATCCCCAGAAATCACCGGGGCAGATTACAGGAAGTCCTCGACTTACGACCGTTCGTTTAGTGACCGTTTGAATTTACAACAGCACTGAAAAAAGTGACCTACGGCCGTTTTTCACACGACCGTTTCAGCATCCCCGTGGTCATGTGATCCAAATTCAGACTCTTGGCAACTGACTCATTTATGACGGTGTCACAGTGTCGCGGGGGTCACGTGCTCCTCTTTTGCAACTAATGTCAACGGGGAAGTCAGATTCACTTAACAGCCGTGCTCCTAACCTAACAACTGCACCGATTCACTTAACGGCGGTGGCAAGGAAGGTCGTAAAATGGGACAAGGTTCACCCAACAACCGCCCTTGCTTAGCTGCAGAAATTTTGGACTCAGTTTTTGGGCTTTAAGTCGAGGCCTCCCTGTAGTTCCGATTAGCTTAAATGTCATTGATCTGATTCGGTCTTCCTTAATCAATCACTTGCCAATTCGCTCCTCTTTTGCTCATCCTGTTCCAGAAAACTTAAGGATTGTATGCAAAGGGAAATTTTTTGCACTTTTTAAAATATGTATATATACTGTTTACTTTCTGTCTTTTTAATTCTGCCAGTTTTGTTTTGTTTTTAATCACGATTGTGTCTGGAGTTATTTATGTTTTTTTAAAAAAAACTGAATGCTTTAATTTATTGGACACTATTTATGCAGAGTTGGGACGTGCAAGGGGGATAAAAACCGAACTAGTTCCATAGGAAAACCTGGAATTAGCTCACCTATCACAATATTTCTCTCTCACACACACGCGCGCGCGCACACACACACACATCGCCTTGGAAATTTAGGTGGGAGGGCAGCTCAGTGACATCCAGCTGTGTTTCCCAAATCTGATTGTAGATACTCTTGTTAACTGACTTGGCTGCAACGTGTTCTTTTTTCTTGATAAATAAAACGAATGACTAACTTAAAACCGCAAGTGGTGTCTTTTCACACACTCTCCCGCTGGGTTAGCAGATGTCCTTGACCCCTTGTAAAAAAAGGATTTGCCATCCTCACCCAGGTCTCATGTAATTTTCAGGTAGTCTGAAAACTTATTTCTCTTTTTTTTTTAAAGGAGAATATTTATGCCCAAGGTGGAAAAGAAGCGTCCTCGGGTGTTTTCTGAGCTTAGCTGCTAGCTACGGCCTCCTCCACCACTTAGTGACCGTTCAAAGTTACAACGGCGCTGAAAAAAGGGACGGATGGCCGTTTTTCACAGAAGCATTGTGGCATCCTCGTGGTCACGTGATCCAAATTCGGACGCTGGGCTCGTATTTACGACAGTCACAGCGTCCCGGGGTCACCTGATCCCCTTTTGTGACCTTCCCACAAGCAAAGTCAATGTCGCCAACTTAACAGCTGTAGTGATTCACTTAAGAGCCATGTCAACAAAGGTCATAACATGGGGGGTAACTCACTTTAAGAAGTGTCTCACTTAGCAACGGAAACGTCGGGCTCAATTGTGGACATAAGATGAGAACTACCTGTACTCCACATCCTTTTCCAAAGAATGAGGCAAATCTTTGACATGGTTCGCCTAACTCATGTTTATTCTAAGTTAGATGGTGGTCTGTTTCCCCAATTCTGGCTGGTTTGCATCTTTTTTGCGCTGAGCCAAGACAGCTGGGTTGCGTCAATTCCTTGCAAGACCCTCCTCCCCATCCAATTTTTGACTGCAGCCTATTGGGCAACAAATGCCAGAGCCATACAACTGACATAACTCTTTATTTTTCTTCTCATTTACTACAACTGTGATTTCTCTTCCCAGAGACAAATCTAAAAATCTTAACAGCTTCTTGCAATAAGAATCTGCTGAGTTTCATAACTGGCCCTTCATTGACTTGACAGAAGGGGGGGGGGGGAAACCCCCACAGTTTCTGTAGAGATAAATAAGCTGTAAAACACATAGTTTCTCAATTTTGGCAACTTGGAAGATGA